AGGAGGAGGAGGAGGAAGAGGAAGAAGAGGAGGAGGAGGAGGAAGAAAAGAAAGAGGAGGAGGAGGAGAAGGAGGAAGAGGAAGAAAAATAGCAAATCCAGGACTGATGGCCTCCTCTGTTTCCAGAACTTTCCAGCCTCTCCCCTCTGCCTGGAAGGCTTTCTCGCCAGGAGTTCTCGAGGCTTCCCTGGTCATTCAGGTCTCGGGCCCAACGCCACCTCCCGATGGCTCACGGGGACCACGTTCCTCAGCCCTCGGTGGCATCTGAATCCCAGGTATGACACCTGCCCTTCAGACACCGTCTGTGTTTTCCGTCTGTCTGTCCCCGGGGTCTTCTGCACGGTGACACTCATGGTGCGCCCACCCATATCCGCCCGTAACTGGTGCCCAAGGACACCTTGATGACGCACTTGCAGGAGGTGACCTGGGGTCCCGTGGGGGTGCTTCTGTGTGACGGCAGATCCCAACGAAGATGCTCAGGTTTTACCAGAAAGGCCCTCTATTTAAGGTACACAGAAGTGTCCCCTTAATGAATTCTCAGGCCGTCACATGGCCAGCTGGGACGGTGCGTCGGGAAGAGAACCCTGGGCTGCGCCCGCCTGGGCCGGGGCTTTTGTTACAGCAGCGCTGACTGACTGAGGCAGACAGACACCCAAGTCCCAGAGGCCACCAAGCCAACGCTTGGCTCCCAGTCATCCCGCCTCCCGTGGGGATCTTTCCTCCAGGGGAAGCAGAGGTGGTCCCCAAGTGACCCGCCAAGTCCTGCCAGCCAGGTTGACCCTGCTGCCCTCTCAGCAGGGCTAGGAGGACTGAGTCAGGGTCTGGAGAACCGCCCTGGAGACGGCAGGCTGGGGCTCCGTCCTCAGCCTCCGGACACGACTTGGGCCTGTGGCAATGCTCCAGAGCCCTCGTGGGTGACCAGAAGGGGGACACGGAGTCTGGAGGGAAAGCGGGAGCAAGGAGCACAAATGCTCTGGCCTGGGAACTGGATGGTCTGCACTGTCACCTCCGCAGGGCCACTCACTGGCTGTGTGTCCCTGGGCACGTCAGTTGACCTCTCTGTGCCTCAGTTTCCCCACAAGTAAAAGGTCAGCCCCTGACCCACAGAGGAGCTGAGAGGGTGGAACGCCTGGCGCACAGTGAGGACCCTGTGCCCATCATTCTAATGGCCGTCACTGCTCCTGACCTGAGCCTGGCTGACTGCAGGGCAGTGTGGGTGGCCCAGGTGGATGGACGCCACCTCCTAACACAGAGAGATGGCCGGCAGAGCCTTCGCCAGGCGGGGACGACCATGGAGGACCCCTTCAATGCAGGGACACCTCTGGGGGACTTTAAATAGGGGTCAACTGGGCAAATCCCCTCAGGGAGGCCCCCAGCTGCGCTGTCCCCTTTGCCACACGGATGGGCCTTGCTGGTCAGCGCTGGAACCCAGGTCTGGCCCCCCCATGAGCCTTGGCGGCTGGGGTGGCTCCCCAGGCCCCGTGGGGGAGACGCCAAAGCTGTCTGGGGGCCTCAGAGGTCAGCGCTGCCAAGTGGCCCGGAGGGTCCAAATCAGCCCCCCTGCCCCCCCCCCAGCCCAGAGCAGAGCTCCAGCCCCCCATCAGCTGGAAGCCCAGGCGCAGGGGAAAGAGGCAGAGGCGGCCTCCAGGGAGGCCCGTGGCTCCTGCTGCAGGCGGCCGCACGGGGCTGTTGAGAAATGGTCACAAAGAGTGTCGAGGTGTGCACCCTCCCGCCAGGTGCCCAAGTCCCCAGAGAATTCCGTCCCTCCAGCAGAAGCTGCCGAGCCCTGCCTGTGCGGGCACCCAGGACACGCAGTAAGGGAGGTGGCCCAGGGAGCCGGAGAGGCAGAGTTGGGCCCTTAGGACAGCCTTCAACGCGTGACCCGATTCAAATCAGCCAGGATGCAGCCAGGGAAGGCTTCCTGGAGGAGGCGGCACCCGACTTTTCCCTGGTCCATATTAATCCTGCGTTTCACAGGGATCCTGAGGAGGAGGCACAGGCCAGCAGGAGCAGGGAACAGCGAGGAAGAAGAAGCCGTCAGCCTCTGTCTGAGCCGAATTCTACAGCAGAGCCACAGAATGGTGGCCTGTGGGGCCAGAAATAGTCTG